CGCTTCATCGTTTACAACGGTTATCCACCCGGCAGTTATGCCGATTTGATTTGCACACCCTGCCGGAATTTCTCCAAAGAAATTTGAATTTCATGCGGAGCTTACCAACAGATTTGCGAATGCAGCAGTGGTTCCGCTACGTTTATGGTCAAGAATTTGCGCTAGAGGACTGAGCTAGAGTCGGAGTCGCTGATATAGAGCAAATTCATTGCCTTCACCGATAGCAGGCGATGAATGAAACGGGTTCAGGCCCTTTTCCTTTCAAACAACAGTGGTGGCCTGAGCCGTGGCGTCAGCAAGGTACAGAGCTGGCCCTCGACATAGTTCGTGTTTTTCATGCAGCCTTGAATGAACGTCGAGAAAGCCCGGAAGCACAGGCCGGCTTGCAGGAGTGATGAGCGGCGCAATGCCAACGATGTGAAAGAAAGCATCTGAGCGCTCTGGGACGAGCTCTTGTGTAGCCAAAAGTGTAGCTACGTTGTTGTCTACTTCGTTGCATTCATACCCTGGTTTGGTGTTTTTCTGTTCTACATTCGTATTCAGGAATTTTTCTATACTTTTAGCAATCTGATAAATACCAAACAAATCATGTTGCTTGGTGAGCGTCATGTAGTAGCAGGCGCCATGTAGTTCCTTGCGGAGCAGCCCAACCATGGGAATCGCACAGGCACGGGGGAGCTGCCAGTTGCAACGGGTTATCGTGTAGAATTGAAATGTGTCGGGCGCAGGGAAAACGTCGCTGCGAGCGACCTGTGATTACCTTTTCTGATGTAGATCTAGCAGGCGGAGGTTTGCATATAGCAGCCGTCGTTTGTCTTGGTTGGGTTCGGTTGCCATGTTAAGCCTTGACAGGAGGGATGTGCAGCGTGCTGCTGCTGAAGCGTGCTGCTGTGAGAAGGCGTGGTGCGGATCCAAAATTCACGACCAAACCGCGTCTTGATCGAAGGTCAGGACGTAAAGCATGTTAATCGATTAATTTCATGCGGAATGTCTTTCAAGTGTTAAAGCTTTCAGCATGCCGGTCACTAAAGCACTGATCAGAATAAGACATCAGAAAAGGGGGCCGCTATGACGAATAAAGATTGGTTTCCCTTGCTACACGAGAAATTCAAAATTTAATGGCAGATTTACTTCGCGCAGAATTTGACGAAACAACCTTCGTATTATATTTCTTTGCATGCCGGCACGGCCTTTTATTACAAAGGGCGGTGAGAGACATTGCACCTCGTTGCTTCATGTCTGTCTCGGAACAAGGCCATCGTGTTTTCTGAGCCCGTGGTGATTCGTTTTCCTGTCGGGCATGGCGTCGTCGGAGCTTGAGTTTTTCGTTGCGGAGTGGTGCGCATGGCCGGAGGCCTTGGCGGAGCAGTTGGCTTTCATCAGCTGCGTCCCTTTTCTTTTTTGGGAGCGAAATCCGGACTGCATTGCCGAAGTCCTGCTTGGCGGTCAGGAAGTCAAGCGCGTGACGCTCGAGGGTGCTGTTGGGCATCGGTCTTTTCGCGTTTGGAAATATGCTTCTTTCCTGGTCATCTGCAAGGAGGAAAATCCGTCCACCTTGGTCCTCACCGCGAGCTTAGAGGTCGTCGCGAACGACGTGGTTTGTAGCTTTTGTCGCTTGAGCGGCGAAGCCCTGGACGCAGTGGTATTTCCGAGCGAACGATTCATATCATCCGACCGCACTTTGCACATGGGCGATGTGACCTTGGCAGCATACCGACTTGCTTTCTTTGAAAATTTGGTTGAAAGTGTTTACCAAGAGGTCCACGTTCTATTGAACGGTTTTCAAGCAGTCGTGCCCGATGGCGTGGTTGTGTGGCCGCCGCCCGGACGATCGCTGGAATTGAGTGCGGGCACGCTTGGTGATGCATTGAGCGCTTTGCAGCAGCTTTCTGCTTTCCACTTACAAACGCTGGATGTCTGCAGAGAGCCTGGATTCCTGCGCCGTTTTTGGCCCGAAATACGGCGGGCAGCGCCAAGCGAGAGACTAGAGCTCTGGCAGCACTGGGAGGACAGCAGCTTTGGGAGCAAGGGTTGAACAGGTAGCTGTTTGTCTGATGGCACACCGATGTCATGTCTAGCACGGCTGCTGTGTCCAAAGAGAAAAGGCTAGGACCGTCGGCTGCTTCATCCCTCGCAAGAAGCAAAGCTTGGACAGATGTGGAGGGAGTGCAACTGCGAAGCACAGAGCAGTAAGCTGCATGGAAGAGGCGCGTGGTGCCGTGAAAACATCAACTTGCCGAGGTAGTGCCTAGCCAAGAGACTCTTTCCTTTTCCCCTGGAACACTACAGATACTATATATATATATATATATATTTCGCCACTTTTGCATGCGGCAGTCCTTGGGTTGTCAGTGTGCGCAGCATAGAGAATCTAGTATTATCACGTAGCTTGTTTCATGCTTTGCTTGAACCGTCTGCAATGTGAATATTCTTGAAGCTGTGTCAGATTGAGTGGGTACGCGCTGCAAGTTTGGTGCATGACTTGGGCAAGTTGATTCGGGCACATATTGCTGTCGTGATTTGTTTGAGTACGTCTCCTCTCCTGTAGCATAGAGGTGGATTTCATGTACTTTTCCCTAGCAAAACAATTGGCGAAGTAGGACCATGAAAACATATTGAAGTGAAACATTTCAATCGACAGATTTCAGCCAAAGTTCCCTTCCACTGGCTGTGACCATCCATGTTCATTCGACCTGACGTTCAATCATTGCTAAGATGAAGAATTGGGAAGAACATCAGAAGATGAGGGCGGCACGTCGAATAGGGTTTTACCTTTGCAGCCATGAGCGGCATCTCTACTTTTCAATGACAGATTGTTTCCAAAAGGAATTTTGGGGAAACAAACTTATTCATCAAAGGCTTAACCAAGACACCATTAGGGCATATTCCGCGGACAAGGGCAATGGGTTCTCCAAGTTTTCTGTTATTTGGGTCTCTTTTCTTCTCTCTTTTCTTCTTCCTTTTCTTCTCTCTTTTCTTCTCTCTTTTCTTCTTTCTTTTCTTCTTTCTTTTCTTCTCTCTTTTCTTCTTTCTTTTCTTCTCTCTTTTCTTCTCTCTTTTCTTCTTTCTTTTCTTCTCTCTTTTCTTCTTTCTTTTCTTCTCTCTCTTCTTCTCTCTTTTCTTCTCTCCTTTCTTCTCTCTTTTCTCCTCTCCTTTCTTTTGTTTTTCCTTCTGTCTTTTCTTCTTCCTTTTCTTCTATCTTTTTTTCTCTCTTTTCTTCTTTCTTTTCTTCTCTCTTTTCTTCTCCCTTTTCTTCTTTCTTTTCTTCTCTCTTTTCTTCTTCCTTTTCTTCTTTCTTTTCTTCTCTCTTTTCTTCTCTCTTTTCTTCTTTCTTTTCTTCCCTCTTTTCTTATTTCTTTTCTTCTTTCTTTTCTTCTCTCTCTTCTTCTCTCTTTTCTTCTCTCCTTTCTTTTGTCTTTCCTTCTCTCTTTTCTTCTTTCTTTTTCTCTCTTTTCTCTTTTCTCTTCTCTCTCTCTCTCTTTCTCTCTCTCTCTCTATCGTTCTCTCCGTCTTTATCCTTCTCTCTCTCTCTCTCTTTCTCCTTCTCCTTCTCCTTCTGCTTCTCCTTCTCCTTCTTCTTCTCCTTCTCTCCTTCTCCTTCTCCTTCTCCTTTTCCTTCTCCTCCTCTTTTTCTCTCTTTCTCTCTCCCTCCCTCTTTCTCTCTCTTTTTCTTTTTCGGTTTGGATCTCCGTCTCTGTCTCCATCTTTCTCTTTCTCTCTCTTTCTCTCCCTCTTTGTCCTTCTATTTCTCTTTTCTCTTTTCTCTTTTCTTTTCCTTTTCCTTTTCCTTTTCCGTTTTCTTCTCCTTCTCCTTCTCCTTCTCCTTCTCCTTGTCCTTCTCCCTCTCCTTCTCCTTCTCCTTCTCCGTCTCCTTCTCCTTCTCCCTCTCTCTCTCTCTGTCTCTATCTCTCTCTCTCTCTCTCTCTCTCTCTCCCTCTCTCTCTCTCTCACAGATAGAATGCTTTCTCTCGCATTCTCTTTCTAGCAGATAGAATGAAGGGGAGCAGGAGGGGGGAGACCTGCAAGGAGAAAGAACCGAAGATATGGAAGGAAGAACGCATTGGAGAGAAAGAACATAGGGAAAGAAAGCCTGTATGACATGGGACCAAGGGCGGGTGGGGTGAACCGATGATGGTATATCTCGCACTGTGCGTGTCTTGACCCTAAACCCTAAACCCTAAATACCAACCCTAAACCCTAAACCCTAAAACCAACCTTAATTATACCTTAAACAATTCCTAAACCAACCCTAAATAAAGAAACGACCAACCCTCAATAGATCCCAAACGAAACCTAAGCCACAAAGTCTTGAACGAAATCAAAATAATCCCTAAACCAACCCTAAATAAACACCAAAAAATTTTAGATAACTTTAGACTTTAGATAATATTTGAACGACACCTAAATAAACACAATAAACCTTTTACCAACCCTGAATAGACACCTAGTAAACCATAGGCCAACCCTAAACTAACCCTAAACCAACCTAAGTCAACGGAATAGGCATCAAACCAAGCCTAAATGAACCTCAACCAAAACACAAACAAACTTTAAACGAACGTAAGTTTCAAAGCAACCATCGAACATCAAAAATTCGAACTCCAAAGTGTTGATGTGTTGCAGGTGCTGTCGAAACAGCAGCGTCGAGCCCTGCGAATGCTCGATTTCTAGGTTCAATGTCCTGCAAAAACCTTACGGGCGAGAGGCTCCACTTCCAAAACGATGCAAGTACCACAGAAATGCTCGGTTGTGTCTCCAAACTGTTGCAAGGGCCATAGAAAACAAGGGATTCCAGGGGATTTTTTTTTTGATGCCTTATTTTTTTTGATCCCTCACCCGCCTGCATCCGTCCCACAGATGATACTTGGTAGATGTTGTGGTTTTTGTAGGGGGAATCACCCTGAATCACCCCGACACATGCCTTACTTCCAGCTTGCGATCTCGGTTCTTCATATTTGCCAAGCTAAGATCCCCAAATTCACTTACGAAACTTGGCGCAGGACTCCTTGTAATCCCTGCGTCTTCTTCAACTCAGCCTCCGGCTGCTTCAAGGGACAGAGTTGTACATTTTGCCACCACTCAGCTACTCCTGGACCCGGACTTCTGACTCGACCTTCCAAGCTGAACCGCGCGCGGACCAAGGAAAAGGTGGAGCACCTGTTGAGCAAGTTGATGGAGGCAGATATGAACTCTTTATCAGATGAGATACACTATGGACTTCAAGCTGAGGCTCAGAAAGACGACTTTTCGCGGAGGTTTTGTCAAGGCCGCTTGAACGAGGTCCTATTGACACTGCAGCCGCGACCGTCACGACGTCCATATGAATTTGGTTGTCGTTGCTGGGTCGCATTTTCCCTGTGAGAGATCGCTGTGAAACCGCGAGACGTGAGAAGTACAGTGTGTAGAGAGATAATCCCACCCCCCCATATTCAACACACCGTGGTTTCAAACATTTTAAATTAATATCTTAAATATGTCTACATTATGTTTACATCCCCTACTATGAAAATCTACCAACATCTATACCAACCATGGTTTCTGGATGTTTCTTAGATGCGTTTGATCTGCATCTATGGCGTGTTTTCATGTGACTTTTTGGGCACGGTGGTGTCACGGTGATGTCAAACATAATTCCTTCCCCAAAATTGAAAAATATCCTCCCAATGGGCACAGATCCAGTACGAAACCAAGGTTTCTGCGGGTTTTTAAGTTTTGGGCGGAGGGAATTCGAAGCTCCCCGGGCTGATTTACACATTTGACTCGCCGTTTCTCTGGTGCATTGGAATTGAAACCACGGCATTTTGTGCAAAGATGAAAAACCATGATTCAGGCACCCACCTCTTGCATTGTCCCAGTTGGACTTTTAGGCCAGCTCTTGGCCTCGACACAGCCAGCCTGTTCTGAAATTAGGTTAGTTGCAGGTCATAACTGCTGTGTCTCGGAAATGCTGTCCACTGGGTGAATTTCACCTCACTTCTGCAATGGTTTAGATTTCTGGTTTTCAGGGGTTACAGTATGATAGTCACTGAGTAAAAAAACCAGCAAGGAGATACAAGTCATTTTTCAACATTTTTGGGGTGGCTTCACCATGGGGTGATGTTTTGGATCACATGTTAACCATTGCACTGAAAATGGGATGATCTCAAGTAACTCACATTTTTTGGGGCCATGAAAATCAGATGAATCTTCCATTTTGGATTGTGAAAAATTCGTCAGGCGCCCTGCTTTGCTCTTAGTTTCAAGGGCTCTGTGTCACACTCCGAAATGTCTGTGTGGGATGCCGCCAGACCCTCTGCTCTTGTCATCCTCGCAGTGCCACTGCCTGTTGGAAGTGGGGCAATCTTGGACGGAACCAAAGTTCGTGGGTAGGGCCCAAAATCATCAGGAATACATGAACCACTGATTTGCAAAATTTGCAAATCTGGATCTCTTTGAAGTGGTTTAGTCATGCATCCCAGCTATAGAGTTCCCCCCAGTGCAATTTAGGCTCCAAAAGTTGGGGGATACCCCAAAATGGCATTTTTGAATGGGACAGATTGGGAAAGTGATGCTAAGATTATGAGATTTTGGGACTGGGAGATCCCCCTGTGTTCAGACTTTGTATGATGGTTTTCCCAGCACCATGTCCGACTTTGGCCCTGCTGGTGGATCACGCCCTTGTGGCACAGAGAAGCGATGTCTCAATGGAGCTGTGCGGAAAAAAGGGCGCCGTTGGGATCTGCTATAGCACATTTCTCACACTTCTTAGATCCAATATGTTGGGGAATAAAGTATAATCCAGGAGCTGAGAATCTTAATCAATCAACCTGAATTAAACTGGAATAACAGTGGGTTTTGAACACTGCTCAATTGACCCTGGTTGATTGTGGTTATTGTAGGAGGTTATACTACCTGCTTTATTGAGGATTATTGTCACGATTAAGACCCACACGCGAATCCCTATCAACCAACCAGGGATCCCTTTCCTGCACAACATGATGATATATAAATGGGTTTGGCTGAAAATAGAATACCGCATTCCATCCACTGGTTAATCATAGTAAATATAGTCAGAAGTGGGGAGTTAACGCATTATTTTCAGACGCACCCAGATCAAAAAATATCCTTGTTAGTTCTATCTTTTTTTTTTTGATATTTGTCGTTGGTTAGCCCCCCCAAGAACCCAATTTTCCCAGAACATCTTAGTCGCTGGGAGAAAATCTGTCCCCCGAAACGCGCCACAGATCTCTGCCGCGTCCTGTGCTTTGCTTCGATGATCCGCAGTTCCAGCAGCAGCTACAGGAGGCAAATCTGTGGGCTATGTATCATCATGTTGTATCACAAATGACCAAAAGGGCTGGAACATGCGGAAGATCTGGGAAATCTCTAGGCCTATACGACCCCTAAAAAACCTTAAGCCAACCCCAAACAGACCCTAAAACAACAACCAATGAATCCTAAACCAACCCGAAATGGATTCATATTTGGGATAACCGCTCCAAGTGGCAATCTAGACCAAACATCAAAGTTTATTTCTGTCTGGAATATGTTTTTTGATGCCTTCGAATGGCGAGCTAGAGCATTTCGATTCCCCCCAAACGTTGCCTGATCAAAAACAAACTATATATTCTGGATCAAAAAAAAATATATCCAAGCCACCATTGAGATCTATTTCTGTGGGTAATAACTATTTTTTGATACCAATGTTTTTTTCGATCTGGAATATTTTTTTGATCCCTCACTCATGAGCAAAGCCTAAGGTTTGTGGACAGTAGTTGCCCCCATACATGTTTTATTGGAACTATGGACGAATACAATATGTGCCTCAAACAGTTTATTGGTGGAGATGAGGGTTTTTCGGCCTGCTCAGCAGGGTGATGCAAGGTGGGTTTTCTCAACCCAGGATGGTTACTTCTGATTTACTATTGTTTCTTTTTATTTAGTCCTGCAACGAACATAATGATACAATATTTTACATAGCAGCTCAGAATGTCAGCATATCCAACATTGGCCATGAAATATATATGAAAAAAACTCAAATTAGTGAATATATACACATGCTATAGTTCATTGTATTGGGTCATGGACCTTTTAATACCCTATAATTCATTTATAATCATTTATATATATATATATATTCATGTTCGTGCCTTTCCAACATGAGTTTTTCCATTCAAAGCTTTTTTTGAGGCCGCGAAACTCCACACAAATCAAGTCGTGGAGGGCAAGCTGCAATGCAAGTTGCCAAGCGCTAACGCAAGTTGCGTTGAAGGAAGACCCTCCAAGGCATACCCTCTGGTAAACTAACATAGCTATTGAAAATGACCATTTATAGTGGATTTTCCCATTGAAAATGGTGATTTTCCATAGTTATGTTAGTTTACCAGCGGGTAGTAAATTCAATAATAATCCCTTTTCCCTAATTACTATTAAACGCCCCCTTAGAAACCATGGTTTAGTAGGGAACTTCCACATAATTGGGACCATAAAATTGGGGTGTTTTTTATGTTAGGGTGATGGGAATTATAATGTGGGTAAAATAAGAATACACCACCAATTTGGGAATGGTTTGAATCCCACCTATGAAAATGGTGATGACTGGGGGGATGGTTTATTATTGTTTTACCCACATTACAGTATATACTAGACTATAAATAAGTGTATTGAGTACATGTAAACACACTCTATGTATACTATATATAGACACTGTATGTAGTACAAATATGTACATATTATTTATATATATGTATATATATACATAGAAAAAATGAAAAAAACACGAATATGTATAGCGACCTCATGTCTCGAAGTCAGTGGAATGATGGGAGTTGGATTGTAAACTGTCCCAAACTGGCCGAACTCCGAACTATTCAGGCTGGTGAATTATGATAATCTATCCAGACATGTAGTGTACGTCTAAGGAGATTCATGATGAATAATGCTGGATAGATTTTGAGGTTATCATGTTGGTTTAGAATTTATTCTTGCAATACATATCGCAATATTTGTCCTGATGAAGAGAGGGAGGGGCGCCCTTCCCATTTTCCAAAACCAATTAAATAAAATCTAGAAATAAAGTCTAGAAAAAGATCCTTAGATGGTTATAAGGAGTTGTCCACAACCATTTATAGAAAAATGATGGTTAAGGTTAGATGGTACCAGTCACCAACCTCACCGAGCCTCCATAACTCGAATAGAAGCATGTCTTTGATGGGACGTGACTGGTCTCAATGGGACTTGATGGATTTTTGCATGGATTTTTCACTGTCGAACCTGGGGAAGATGAGCCGAAGACCTTGTGGATTTTACCCTCTGGTAAACTAACATAGCTATTGAAAATTACCATTTATTGTGATTTTCCATAGTTATGTTAGTTTACCAGAGGGTAGAACCTTCTGGATGGGACAAAGAAATAACTAGCTATGGGTGTTGAAGGACCTAAGTAGTGGAGAAATCATGGGGTTGAATATGCACCAGGAATACCAGTGTGACACATCGCGATTCTGGTCATACAAGGTGGGCCCTTAAACCCCCATGATAAATTGGTTTACACATCCCATTAAGTATAGTTGTATATCTTCCATAAACCCTCCAGTGGATGAAATCGTCCAAGGCTTTGCGGGAAGTATTTCAAGGATCTTGACTATGTGCGGAAGCATCTCAGTCGCCGCTCGGCATCCACGATGCATCGACGACTGGATGATACTAGACCGGCTAGACGACTGGAAACCCCCAAATTGGCAAAGAACAGTCGAAATTTCATGAATTTTCGATATCGAATGATCCGAATGTAGATAATTCGATATTGATAGACTGATGCTTCTGATCATGGTTTCTCTATAGATTTCCATTTCTGCGAGTTTGCTTTTTTGGGCCAACTTATGCCATCTTGAAGCCGTGCCCAGCCGTAGCTTTTTTAGGTGCCTTTGTGACGTCATTGTTTTGGTGTCCATGCTGAGCAAAAATTATCATATCATATTCATATTGGGGGATGGTCATACTGCCATTATGTATGAGATAGGGGGCGACAGTGCGTAGACAACCATGGGCTGCCATGTTTTCTTATTAGCTGGTTATTAAGGGAGTCTGCAATTGAAGATTTGACCTGCCATTGATTTATTGGTTTTTCGCAAGCAGTCTGATGGGGGCACATCGTGGGGGGCAGCTAGCATTCCGATTCCCATGCTTTTTTTGACTCCCAATGATTGTTTGAACTTCAAACCACAGTGTGTGAGTTTGAACTTCAAAACCTCAATTATCATCTAGTAGTGGTTTCAAATGGTTTCAAGCAGCTCGTGGAAGTGGAGTTATTGGGGCTGCCCTGTTTGAGGGGGGGGTGCTTCTAGTTGAGGGGAAGGATTATTTAAGGGACCCTTCGTTTATTGAGATGATGAGGCAACATGTTTGTTCAGTGATGATTTACTGAGAACCTTTGTTTGTTTTCAGCAAGCCTTTGACAATACGGCTTTCAAATCTGATTGTTGGGTTCTGATTGGTTTTTCCGGGATTTACCCTCTAGTAATTTAAGGTAGCTATGGAAAATCAACATGTTCAATGGGTAAATCAACTATAAATGGCAATTTTCAATGGGTAAATCAACATGTTCAATGGATAAATCGTCTATAAATAATCTTTTTCTGTGGGTCATTTTCCCCGGTAACCTTTGGGAGGTTGCCGGCTCTAGTGGAAAATCACCAGCTCTAGTAGTCACCAGAAGGCTCATCACAGAAGAATCTTCACTCTCAAGGGGCATTTTGGGAAACCACCGTATCTTCATCAAATGTTTGTTGTTTCTTGGTTCAGTATCCATCCAATATCATCCAATCCATCCAACATCACCTAATTATGGTTATAATACCAGGCTATAGGTTGGTTTCCTATCCATCCAACATCATCTACCTATAATAGCTTTGCTATAGTTGTAATACTCCTGGTCAATGATGTCGAATAACCTTAACCATAGTTTAGTTGGATGGACAGTTC